AGATTGCTTTGCTGAGGCAAGTTTTACTTCCTTAACGTTCCTGGAGTATTCGACACCCCGACCACTTCTAACTACAATTTTTGCTCCATCCCTTGCAACTACAGTGTATCTATCAGTCGAAAAAGTTGGATTAGATTTCAATCGTTTCTGTTGAGTCGCGAAATGTGATTCATATGCACTATTATAAAGCCTCTACTCAGCGATCTTGTTGTAGAAGGTCATGTAGAATTGTTTACCTTAGTTCAAAGTGTTGGCGTAGCGAAGTTGGCAGTGTCAAGGTTTTCCAATGCGGTCATTTCGAGTTCGAATCCAGGTTCCGGTGCGCAGGGGGTAACAATTTGGATGTATGCTGAAAACTAATTTCGAATTATTATGATTATTGAATAATCGGGAAAAGGTTGAATAAATGCCTTTCAAGTTCACACACAACTAAACAGCAGAATAGCAGTTGTATAGAAGCGTAAATGGATATGCAATACATACTACCTTGTCACAATCGTCCCAATAGCCATAAGTAGCTGACTTTTTTTTTTTTTTTTTTTTTTAGTTCAGTCTAGATTTTTAGCTTATGGCTAGTTCATCTCCGGAGTAGCTGACTAAGTTCGCCAGCTTTGCTTGTATAGCGGTTGAGTAAAGGTTACCTTATATTGTATAGCATTTGAATACAGCTTGAGGCTGTTTTTCTTTTTTTTTTATTTATTTATTATAGTCACTTTAACGCTCTTGGGTCATTCGTGACTTGTCTAGGGGTGAGATTTAAACTCATTACCTTGACATGGATGTTAACCACTACGCTGGGCTCACCCCCATTTGAGGCTATATAAATGAAATGAGCAAAGCACTTACATTGTGATAATTGTTATATGGGTTCCTTGGGGTACCCGGGACTTTTTAATGAATTTCTGGAGACGAAACAGCCCAGGGATGAGAAGAATCATTAATAATTATGTATAAACATTTTTTTTTAATGAACTCTCATATGATTTTAGGGCCCCCCTCATGCAAGGCTGGATTTGAGAGTGCAAAGGTGGCAATTGCCTCGCTTCTCGGTTAAGGTAGCCTTCTCTTAGTTATCCTTTATTATTGTATTACTTTATTTAATATTTTTTTCTAAATTTATCATATTTTCTTGAGCTAAAGGAAACTATTTCGAATTTACGTCCATTCATAATAGTTGAACCGGTTTAGTTCAGATACAATTTTACTCGAAAAAAACCTTGTCCATCGGTATCATCGAATAATGTAAAAATTGTCATAATTGTGCACGAAATCAATACAAATGAACACCCTCTTCATAAATTATGCAAAAAAGGAGGAAACGTTCTCTGTGTTGCTGTAGAATATTAATCCTCGAAAATATCATCCTGAAGCATTCAGTATGTATAAAGAAATTTTTAAGTGACGTGTATGTAAGGTAGCCACCATCCCTTCAAAGGTCTTGTCTTGTATGCAGCTCCACTTAATAGCAAGATCAATTTGAGCTATCGATCTGAATTCACAATATCGCTGTATGAAGGGCCAAAAACGGAGGGGTGGACCCGTAAGCAGAGACACTTACACGAAATCCACGGGAATTTAAGAATCTCCTTCCAACGATACGATCCAACAAATCGAATAACGCAATTCGCAGTACTTATTAACCTTCCTACAGGATGGAAGGGCGCGCCAATCTCACTGAAACTGTTGAAGTAGAATTCACACCACCAAAATCGAATCGGTAGGATGAAGAAAATGATAGTGTTTATTCCCTCCTAGAATCCGGTTGTCATACCACTCCATTGTCCAGTTCCAGGTCAAATGATACCCTGATGGTCCCTCCCAACCCAGTATTTAGTTATATTATGAAAATATACGTAATGGAGAAATTAAATATTTGAGAACATTAACCATTAAATAATAATTGATATTCTGCAATGAAAATAATAGTTATTTTACATATAACAAGATGCAGCTCTATGTTTCCTCAGCTCACAATATGAAGTGGATGTAACACTGAAATTACAAGGTTATATTAAACAAATTTATATGTATTTTACTTCTAATTACTAATAATGTAAGGATGTAAATGTAAAGTGTAAAGTGTGATGCATAACTAACATGGCTAACAATAAAATGGGATTACGAGAAAAATAAAGGAAAGATCTCACCCGATATATTGCAAAGGAATCCATGACATCACGATGATTTCGAAGAGCTCCAAGAGATATGCTGCCGCTACTTCTTCAACCGGTGTTAACAACTGCACTCTCGCCTTTCGGTTTTCACACAGCAGCGTAAACCCCATCAACCACGATATACACTCTAGCTGCTCCAACTAGAGAGATCTCAGCAGAGAAAAAAAGGACTGCATCCACTTCCCATCACCAATCACTCGCGACGCCAGCTACTCACCGGCCGAATCAACTCGCGACCAACGCTGAAATCAGAACCAAAAACTCCAGCGACCGAAAACCCACGTGTCTAATAGCGGCCACGGCACACTTCGATTGCATTTCTGAAACACAACCTCAACGCAAAAACACGACGATGACAACATTCGTCCGGGAGGCGTAACGCCAGCACGCACAAACAAAGGGAAGACAAAATGCACACACAGAACACGACACTAGCTGAACTGCTAACGTTGAAAGCCAAACGCGAACTGGTTAGCTGATTCCTGAGATATGGTTGGAAAATGTCCCGGTGAATATTGGTCATAACTCTAGAAATAGCCTGAATCGAGTTAAACCCATCAATTAACATGTGAACTCTAAAGAAAGATCAATGGTTATCATGTTGGGCGTTTAGGACAAAATTGGCCAGATCCGGACATGTTCCAGATATCCCAGGGGAAGTGTCTGACATGGACCAACACCTATCATGCGACACCTCAAATCACATGATTATTAAAAAACAAGTGCAGGTGGTTATATCAAGTGCCCAAGACCATATATAACACATCCGGACATATTCCGGTTACCCCAGTTTCTGACTTGAACCAAAACCCATCATGCGACACCTCATCATGCGAATCACATGACAATTTAAAACATGTACAATTGTGGTTATCTCAAGAAGCTAGGATCACATGGGACACATCTAGACATGTTTCGGGTGCAGTTTGAGTAGTTTTCAATTCCTTTCAATGGACAAAATCCATCATAAAGCTTAGTAATGGAAATAGATCATTTGGGTCTATTTAGGATTTGAATTAACGAATTCAAGAACGGTTTACACTTTTATTCGTCGCGGTTTCGAAGGAATTATCAAAAATTTTCCCTAATACGACCCAACAAGCGGCGCACAACGGTCTCGTCCACTGTTTTGGTGGTTTTATCCCACCAATTTTTCATCTGAGCTGCCGTTTTGATGACTGTACAGTAGTTTTCAATGGGACTGAACTGGGGACAATTGGGTGGATTGAAGGTTTTCGGAACAAACTGGACTCCGTTGTCCTTATACCATTGTTGTACTTCCCGGCTGTAGTGACAACTCGTAAGATCCGGCCAAAATGTCACCTGACCATCATGTGACTGGATGAAGGGCAGAATTCGCTTCTGGAGACATTCGGTTTCGTAAACCTCCAAGTTCATCATTTACTCAGAGACGAAAACCTTGGTCTTCTGGCCGCAATTCCCTGCCAGTTCATATATTTGCGTGTGAATTTATCCGCAAAAGTATATTTGAATCTGCCAGGGACACCTCCTCGAGCCTTCGCCTTGTAAAATGTTGATCGTGGAAGCTCTCTGAAGTCGGCCTATGCATAGGTTTCATCATCCATAAGTATGCACCCAACGGACTTGGTCAGCAAGTTTTCATACAGCTTTGAAGCATGGGTTCTAGCTACGGTATTCTGCTTGAGTGATCGATTGGGTTACCTACTAATGTGGTACGTCTGTAAGCCTTGGGGGTATCGAATTCGCTGCATTGTACTACGGGCGCCGCCCGTACTCGAATCGCGATCGGACATACCTGGGTTGCTTCTAATGAACGACCTTTCCATAGAGCTGACGGTTGGAAGTTCCACTTCGGCGTTTACTTTGAGGCTTCCAATTCGTCGTCAAGGTTTCTCTGTACGTTTTGAGCACGCACCATACGGTGTTTCTAGGAAAATTCAACACTTTAGCAGGATTTTAAAGGTGACTGTGCACGATTAATTTCTAAGCTCCTCTTGCATGGTGACTGTCTCCAAAACAAAAGCGTTTTATGAACTGAAAATATACAATGTTACTGTTATTGTTGATGTCAATAGATAGACGTCAGAAGCTTCCGAAAACGTCCACTAGGAGCGCGGTAATAAGCAAAGAGTTTGTTGTATTACTAAGCTGGCCATGGTTTACAGCACATTATATCAATTTGTAAGAAGAGTCAGATCTCACCATAGGTGGTTTAATTCAGGTTTTAAAATCATTTTACATTTATAATATCTGTCGGTAGTTCGAATTTTAGTGGATGGTTTATGAAATTTTAAAAGCTGGTCGCAACCTACGATAGTCCGTTTCAAAGTGGTCTTGTGTTATATAGGGTCAATTTAGGCCGAACCCATTTCGATCCTTCATTCAACCGGTTCTGAAATAATCGATTTTATTGGATGCTTTCTCATCAGTTCATTGTAGCGGGTCCTTGTTTTGTATGAGGAGATTGTAATTCAGATAAAATACCGCAATAAATTTAGTCACCACCTCATGCCTTTGTTTTTAGAATGTCGGATTGGATGACCATATGGTGCAAAAGAGTGTCCTATATTTCGCTTACACTTTTCTGCAACGTGTATTGTCATTTGAGGCGCACACTTGTTTGAGAATAAATTATTCAATACACATTGGTATACCTACCTACAGTTGTAAAACACTGTCCTTCAGCATGTAATTGATAAGCTTCTACTGTCGTTGAATTTTTTTTTAGAATTCGAACGAAATTTTCAGACGCTCACGTGCTTATCAACGGACTTTTTTTTCAAACATTGTATTTATCAAATTCAGAGGGAAATTACGTTGCATTCTTTTTCTGGCACTTTTCAGATAGACGCCGCTCTAAGTTTATCATCTTCGGAAGATACTGAAACGACAGAACATCGCAATCAGGCAAAGGTAGACACCATGCTGCGGAAAAAGTACGAAGCAGCGCACTGGAAGCACCCAGGTAAGGGAAGAAAAATTGATAAAGTTCGAAATGTTTCCAGTTTTCATACCAAACGATGATGGCATGTGAAGCGGTTTTGCGGGTATTGCAAATTCAAATTCTTTACTTGATTTTGTTTATCTTTGCGCTGCCGTAGATCAAATACAACATTCTAAGACTGATTTATCAATTTTGTTCGAGCTTGTAAACATTTTAAGAAGCTTTATTTAACAAGATGTTGCTGGTCTCCCTTAGCTCGATCGGTAAAGGCGCAGCTATAATGCAAGACCATGCTGGTGGCGGCTGGGTTCGATTCCTGGTCCGATCTAGGATTGTTTCCTGGAAGTTGCCACACAATTATATTAATGCAAAAATGGTACACTCTTCGAAAGCTCTCAATCAACAACTGTGGAAGCGCTCAACGAACACAAAGTTAAAAGAGGACGTAATGAAGTCAATATAAGAAGAAGAAGTTATAAGTTGCTTTCTCAAAAGAGTTGCAAATTAGCATGATTCCTTTCAGTACATTTTATAGTACCAATAATATGCTGTTTCGGTTTCTGGCTAAGCAATCTTTAAATTTATGTAGCGTTCTCCATTGCTAACAAAACCCGAACATAATATTCACAGCCACACAATTTATGTTCATTTGATGATTTTTTTTTTGTTTACATAAATCCACTTAAGTATAAATAACTTATCAAACAATATTAAACAGCTTCAAATGCGCTTCGTCCCGCAGATGATCATTCCGAGAGTCACCAAATTGATTTCGAACTTCGCCGAGCCAAAGAGAGGAGAGCCCATGAAGAGGTGCTTTCGGGGCGCTACAGAAATCCCGCATTCAGCCATCGTAAGCATATTTCCGGCGTCGAGATTGTTTTGAAGAATTGAGTGGCTCTTGACATGAGTTTTTTTTCCCCTTTTCCTTGCAGCAGCAACATCAAACGGCAGTACACAACCGGTTCCAGTCATGGAACGACCACCTTCAAACAGTATTAGCACCGAGTTTAGTCATAGTAATTATAGCAATAATTCCTGTTCAATCGATTCCAAATCACCTCAACCCCTTCCCGATGGAGATAGTGACCTGGCAGTGGAAGTGAACTCGAAATCCGTACCAGCAGTGGAAGCTGTTCCGTCCGTTAAGGACTTCGTAAGAGAACCTAAAATTGGTAATTATTACATAAATCCTTACGTGAATAAGTCGTTTGTTAGTTAAACTTGATTTCATGTTATAGGTATTCCCAGCAGTGCCTCTACCAGCGACAATGAGTCCTGCGTACTAAGTGCGACCCTGGAATCCTCCGAGCTAAAGATGTGGATCCGGTCAGAGTCGGAAAATTCGGTGCCATCTTGGGCGTCGTCGATAAGCCTCGACAGCCAATCCGAGGAAGCGATTCTCGATTTTATGAAACGGTTTGTGAAAGTTTTGTTTCGGGAAAGTTCCGCCATTACGCTAGAACTGAAGTCGGACTTTGGACAATATGCGCGGGTGAGTTGGGGTGCTACCAATATTTTTCATTCTTCTCTGCTTGTATTCAGGCACACCAAATTAAGATTCAATTAGAGCAATTTAACTATTTTTTTTAAAGTATTTCATCTCTCTTAAAGTTCTGCATATTTATAACATGGGCAGTTCTTTGGAATACTCATGAGCTATCAAGCAATCCAACTGAAAAAAAAACTCGAAAGTATTTTCTCACTCTTGGAGGTTACTTCTTCTTTACTGCATGAGCAATTCATTAACAGACAAAAGTTTTTGAATAATTGAACTGAATAGTCCAATTTAAATCGCATTTTCACTCTTGGAGTTGTCTATTTCTGTATGACATGAGCATTTCTACCATACATAAAAAAATAAAAGTTATGAGAATCTGTCAATGTTACTTAGGACCTAATGCACGCACAATGTTCAGCTTGATATCTACATTTGAAGTGAACGGCGGAGACAGAGAATAGGAAAAATGTCGCAGCCCATTCTTTTTCAAACAGTTTACAGTGATTAAATTTAAGCTGCAAGCTTTCGTGTGACATAAATTATCATCTGCCTTATTTACGTATAATTATAGCGTCTATTCTTATGGGTGATTAGTATTCATTCATATATTTTAATTCCATGCAATAAATATCAAATAAATGCAGTAATTAACCAGCAACCTTCTACATGACATAAATTTATGTCGTGCGCTGGTCTTGTCTCCTTCTTTGTGCGAAAATATTCAGTTGCTGGTAGAAAACAGTTCAGAAATGTCACGACATTTTTTCCGCTTGCCAGTTTGTTTTTGTGTGTCTTCACTATGGTCATTGCGAAAAGTATCAGTGATACATTTCTTCAATGTACGCTTGATATTTGCCCAAAATTTTTCGATGGAGCGAAAATCTGGACAATTTGGAGGATTGATACTTATTTCAATAAAATCGACATTATTCTACTTATACCTTTTAATGACATCCCTGTTGTAATGGCAGCTGGCTAAGTCAGATCAGAACTTTACGGGATCTTCATGTGACAGAATGAATGGCAAAATTTTCTTCTGGAGACATTCCTCCTTGTAAAGTTGTCCATTCATAGTCGCTTCAGTGATGAAAACCTTTGCTTCCTTTCCTCAACTGCAGATGCCTTGCCTAATCATCAACTTGCGAGCGAATATATCTGCAAAGACAAATTTGAATAAGGTTAAATTTTTGGACCTGGAATTCGTCCAAACTCCATTTTCACGTAAGTTTCGTCGTATATCAAAATACATCTGTTATACTTGGTCAGAAATAGCTCGTACGAAAACCTTCTCGCATACAGATTCCTCCATTCCTCCTGCCCACGTTGAGTTTTCAACGTGAGTGTGCAGAATTTTTTCACGTTTCATCTTCGATAACTTTGTTTCCTGATTAAATGTTCGCCACTGAATAAACAATCCTTGCAGATCAAAACGCTGTCAACAGTTTCTTGAGGCGAAAACTAGCGAAGATACAGTAATTAAAAAGAAGCGGCCAAATACTAACTGGAACAGACTTTTGGAGCAATTCCAGGTCAAATACCGAAAACAGATTCAATTTTTGGATCGACCTTCTCCGATGTGTATACACATTTGCGTGATTGTTTGTTATGGGCAATAATTAGAGCTTCCATCCTGGGATGTCCCGGGATGAAAATCCCGGGATTGTGACATTTTCCGGGATTACCGAATCCCGGGAATTTTTTTTTATCAATCCCGGGATCGTGTCAATCCCGTGAAATTTTTTTATCCCTCTTTTACCCCATTAAATATATCTTGGAATATCTGTAGCAGAATCCAGAACTTTCACATCTTATGAAATATATCTATTCCCTTCGTTTGTCATTCATACTGATTTATCGAAAGTATGGCACACAGACATCACGTTTTGTATATGATCGTTGTACAAGAAGCACTCGTGAAAAATAAGATCTAGCAGTGAAACAAACCGTGAACATTTTTATTAAATTTTATAATCGCGTATCTAGATGGTACATAGACGAAAATCAGGTTGAGCGTTGTGAGATGTCCGTTCATCGTTCATAGTTGATCGAAAAACCATTGAAATGCATTGTTAAGATGGTTGGAAGTAGTACTAGTCTCAACTGATGAAAAAAACTCAGTATTTGCAGTTTTTAGAGTCCTTCCTTAGATTAGCGAGCTGAATCTTGTAAAATGCTTACTCCTTCTGGAGGAACTTCTATATGTCAACGTTTTCTATCCTGGCTTCCATAGCTCTCCATCGCTGTCATTTGTTACGCACAAAGGCATGCATTACCTTTACCCGTTAGTATGTAATCAATGTAATCCTAATGCACGGCAAAATAGTTTTTACAAAAACATTCATGACAGAAATCATCCACCATAATCATCATGATCTGTACGGACTAGTGTGAAATTTGGCTGACAAACATAATATCACGTCACATTAGGGAATTTCTTAGAGAGACATTCATTTGATTTCAGAGAACTTCATAGAAGTTCGTGGAACTTCGTTAAACTTCAGGGACCATCATAGATCTTCAGGATACTTCGTAGAATGTTAAATAATTTCGTGGACGATGATTACGGAACATCGCATGAATTATTTGAAAGTTCAGCAAGCTGGGCAGAAATTAAGTGATACCTATCGAAAAATTAAAAGATGTAAGCTATGGAAAAATCTTTGAAGTACTGGGAACTTCAAAGAAGTTGACGGAATATCCCAGGATTTAGAGTTTAAGTTCAAATTTCTTGAAAGTACAGGAATCTTCGTATAACTGATATTCACGGATTTGCGATGATATCTCTCGATATTATTCAAGACTTTTCAACTTAATCAAGTAATGTTCTGAAGATCTGCAACTGTTCAAAAATTCAAACGACATCTTTTAGACATCCTTCCAACATGGAAGTTTGATAAGAGACTATTTAAAGGATATGCAGTTGGTCCGAGATTTAAAGACCTCTGGATATTTTTCAAGACTTCAGGTTGATCAATTATTATTCTTAAGATATTCAACTGTTCATAAATTCAAATAATGTCTCTTGATAGTCTCTCAAGATTGCTGGTTGGTCAGAATCTGAAGATCTTAAACTAGTCAAACTTTCAATTGGCTCTCTTAAGATGGCAGATCGGTTAGGAATTGCTTAAAGATCTCAAGCTGATGAACGATCACAATAAAGTCCTCTGGATTTTTTGTTTTCAAGGCTTCAGGTTGATCAAGTATTAATGTGACGATATTCTCCCAAAACTGTACGTTGATCAGGAAGTATTCAAAAGATCTCCAGCTAATCGAATGTTTCAGTGAAGTCCTGTGAATATTCAATTGGATCAAGTTTTATTCTGAAATATCCGATTTGGTTACATTATTCATATTCAACATATTCAGGAAGAAGCTTTAAATATGAAGCCAAAAACTTCATTTCTTTAACAAAAATCTTCATATGCCAGCATAAAATAAAAAAAACCATCGGAAGCCTGCTACAGCTTCCGCAGGTCTTGAAACAACTTCACATATCATGAGATGTCTTCAAAATGTCTGCATGAAAAAATACCTTCACAGAATTTTAAATGTCTTCAAAATGAAGATGTGTCTTTAAATCTGATGTCCCTAGTATTGAAGGAATCTCATTTTTTTTATCTTTCTTCGAAGGAGATGAAACATATGAATATTAAAACAATTTACTATCTTTGTTCCCTTCCCGGGATCCCGAGATATCAAATAAATATTTCCCGAATCCCGGGATGGTGGAAACCACCGGGAAATGGAAGCTGTAGCAATAATTCACATTTTTACTAAAATTCGGCAATTTTGGATCATGTGAAATTTCCAAAATGGCACCCTGAAATTTTTAAAACATTGTAGCACGGAAACGGCATTTCTGATCGAAATTACGTCTGAGAAAAACTTGTGGGTGTGTATTTACAATCTAACTCCCACTGACTGGCAGTGGCATTATGGATAGAATTCTCCTGCAACCATCTTTTCTATAAATAATTGCAAGAATCTTAAATCCGGGAGTTTAAAGGTGACAGCTATATCTCAACTCGAAAAGCCCCTTTCAAGAACGCAAGCACCCCGAAGCTATTTTCGCATACGATAAGCCCCGCTTCAATACATTTCAAGGTGGGAGTCATTAATAATGTACTGGAACCAAGGAATCAAAAATAACTTTAAATGACAATGAACCGAATGATAACGCTATGTCAGAAGTGGAAAGCAATAATGATATAATCTTTATCCTTCTTTTTCATGACAAGTAGCCCGTGTGACATAGCTCACTCGGGGCGGTAGAAGGAAACGAGCAAATTGTTGGTAAGCTGCTTCACGAAGCAAAGCCGAAGATGATACACGTGTGTTATTGGGATTTTTTTTGTTATGTCTTTTCTCGATTCAGATCAATCTATGTCCTCATCCGTGTATATTGCAACAAAGCAGGCAAGCAATATATCATTATCCTTCTACCACTCCGATCGAGCTATGTTACAGAGCGAGTTTGTCATGGTAGTCGTAGCAACCGTTTTGTCTGTATCGTTGGTTGCTTCATGTATTTGGATTCGCTGACTGGAACTTACAATCATGCGGTATTGCTTGATTGATGCGTATTTAATGAGTTGGAAATGTTTGTAGTATCATTTATATATAAATGTAGTATTAGTACTCGGAAATTAAGTATGAAAATATTATAAAGGACGAAATGGAACGAACTCACCAAATCTGGTCAAGTGAACCTAACAAGCTTGATGTGTTAGAAGGGAAGTCGCAATTGTAGACGGTTCGCTTCACGGGTTAATCTGGTTTGTGGTAGAGCTTGCACGGAATGTCCCGAATGTAGTCTTGAAATATCTCTTGGCCGTCTGATACAATCCACATACTGTGGCATTCGATTCAGGAAATTCAAGTATCTGTTCGTCAGCAATATCCCCTTACTGTTAAAAAAATCCGGAACAACGACGATTTGAGCCTGCGACATGCTGTTTACTGTCAAACGCTGCTGTTGGTATAGGCCTTGTCACGGCCTGACTCTCCATCAATATCCATCAAGTTGACGAAAGAAGTAAAAAGCAACTGGTGAATGTTGTCTTCGGTGGTGATCCATCACCGATCTGGTCATTCCCGACAATCACGACACTCATCTGTGCTCGTTTTCGAGCAGTTACTGCTTTGCTTGCTTATGTGAGTGTGTTGGTGAGTAAGACCAACAGCTACCGTTTAATTTTGCCAGCTTTGTTTGCAATTCATTGTTGATTGTTGTTTGTCATGGCTCTACCTCTCACTGCGTGACAAAACGTTCTGTCAGCGATAGTCGGTTGATGCGTTGATGAGTGTCGAGTGATTGTCATGATATTTTGCATCACTGATTGTGACCATTTCATTGATCGTGGAAAATTTGGTTTGATTGTAATGCGTATACAAATGTTGTCAATTTTGTAAATAATGGAAACTCCATTTACGATCCAAACCTGGAGGTTCGTAAATCGCATCAGTGTGCAAAAACACGTTATTTGGGATTTACTTTGTATAAGAAAAACCTTATGATTTGGGATTTACTTCGTAAATAAAGTTTGTTGATAACAAATGTTGTCAAATGTGTCTTTTTTAATCAGAGTGACGTGTACGGACCGGAAATCGATATGTGACGCCATTTTGAAATCTAAGATGGCGACTTCTGATTACAGAAAAACTGGGAAATACTTTGAAATATCCCACAACATGGGTATTTTAGGAATCAGTGAGACGTGTAGGGACTGGAAATCTATTTGTGACGCAATTTTTATATCTAAGATGGCGGCTTCCGGTTACAGAAAATGGAAAACACTGTCAAATATTCATATACCGTGGACCTCACTAAACATTGCTCAAACGTCATTCAGCATATGGAATGGAAGAAAGCGAAATGGGACATTGCGAAACGGAACGCAGAACCAAAACAAAACAGCAAATAAGGCTACCAGAAATATGGATTTCTGATGCTGATAGGGTTACTAGAAGTGCAAATAAAAAATTATCCCCATTAATATACATGAAGTGTCGTTCGGATTAGCAGGGGGTCCAGGGTACTTTCAACAAGGGTTAGTCAAATGCCTTTAGGGTGTGAATGTCTAAGTACGATTTAAAAAAAAAACGACAACTTAACTATGTTTACAGAAAACTCGATTTTTATTTTGTATTCATGTTCTCTATAGTATTCTCTTACAGTTTAACGTAGAAAATTCGAGATACGATCAGTCGTAAACCAAGGAGCGGATTTTTGATCTCATGCTACTCATTAGCTACAGCAACAACAATAATTTACAACAATTTTGGATACTTTTTCCCAGTCTTTCGCAAACTTTGTAACGCAATCCGCTGCCTTTGCATGTTTCCGCAAATATGCTTTGGTTAGGGCCCAAAAAGTTTCGATTGGCCTGGTCTGGGGACAGTTTGGCGGATCCATCTCCTCGGGTATGAATTGGACCTTGTTGGCTCTATACCAGACTACCATGTCCTAGGAGTAATGCACCAAATCCGGCCAAAACAGTACTGAGGTGTCGTGTTTGCAGTTAATGGGTAACAGACGCTTGTTTAAACACTTACCTCTGTAGTATCCATTGTCACAAACGGTTTGGAAAGCCATACCATAGCCTTTTTACCAGCACGAACGGTGTAGTACTGATCACCAGGTAGAGTTTTGTTATCAAATTGAACGTATGATTTATCGTCCATAATAACGCACACCGATTTTCGCACAGCAATTGGTCATATAACTTCCGAGCCCTCGGTTTCCAGATGGCAAACAACCCTTGAAAATAATGGTTTTCATTGCCGTTAATTGCTTACAGATTGGAGATGTTCCTGACACAGGTGCGACATAACCGAAACGGGAACGGCATTATGCGATGGTCACATTTACGTTTGGAACGAAGAATAGAGCATGATATTCTATGAGAGTTGAGCTATATTTACAAGTTTGCTATGTAGCATCTATATAGGGGAAATGGATGTAATGTCGGGCTAAGTGCCCCTAATTTGGGCCCATACATAAATTCAGCAATCGACTAAATTTTAAAAGCGACCAAAAACCTCTCTCTGTACAAATGCAACATAAAAATATAGCATGTTTTTTTTTTACATAAGCGTAACGTACTTCGGCTTAATGATCCAGCACCAAATACTATAATGCTATAATCAATAAAGACAAAAAGATTATCATAGGGGTTTTTGGCCAGGTTCAGATATCGGTTTTGCCAAAGATCTTCCGGGATGGAATTTTTCTCGTTTCTTGCTTCTCGAGCTTTCTTCTCGCAGAGATGACTTTGAGTCCACATTAGGTACTCGACGCGTCGATTACATGACCGTCGTTCATCTTTCCGTCCGTTCGAGTTCTTTGTTTGCTTTAGTAGAGGATTTCAAAGGATGGCATTTTCTTCCTCCATCGATTAGGTTAAGACTTCATTTCTGCACACCTGCAAGGAATCAGTAATTCAAATAGACATCGAGTCAGAATCTTGTTGATCGGTCGAGTTTGCTTGAGCACCATATAGCTTTGATAGCTTCCAGTTTCTCAGAGTTGCCAAACTCATGGGATATTGACACCTTGATAGCCTACTTCGGCACATTTGGCATAGCACTTGGCACATCTTTCGGCACAGTTTATGGTGTGCAAAGTTGAATACCCCTTGAGTGAATGATTAAGTTAAATATTAATAGATCAATTTTGTTCAAAGTTATTCATTTACCGTGGACTCCCGGTTATTTTCACACTTTTTAGTTTAAACCGCGCTAATCTGCACACCTTGCAAACTAAACATTGTTTAAGCGTCATCTAGAACATGGAATAGAGTAAAGCTAAATGGAACGTTGCGAAACGAAACGCAGAATCAAAACAAAACATCAAATAAGGTTACTGTTTACGCGCTTTTCTGATGGTCGTAGGCTTACTAGAAGTTCAAATTGACAATGGACCCGTTAATATACTCGCAGTGTCGTTCAGATTAACGGGGGTCCGAGGTTGTTTGAAGTTGTGACAGTTTTGTTTGAAGTTTTGTACAACTTCTTTTCAAATTACCAATGTTATTATACATGATGACTATTATCGTTTTGGTTGTGACAAGTTCTATCCATTGGGAGCAAATGCGACTGTTTGTTTTAGTGGTGCTAGTTTATTATCAATCAATAAACTGATTTTAAAAGCAATTTTAATTGTTCAATTGTCGCATGGCATTTCAAAATGCGCTAAATATAATAACTAGAATGTTTAAGCTTTGAATTTTCGCCTGACAAATATTTGTATCATCAGCTAGCATCAATCTCTTCGAATTTGTTAATATTTTAAAAAATAGACAATTTATTTTCAAAGCATTTATATGTTTACTCAAATGTATTCTCATGATTATCTAGAATACTTAGCATGATTCACTGTATTGTGATTCAATTGGTTTATTTGATATAATTCCAAACAGCAAGTATTTGAATCAGTGAACATAGATATCTTTGCAAAATATCCAAATTTGGCAACAATTTGGCTTTTATGAGGGTTCTGTAGACCATGATTGAGATTTGTAGAACTTGGGTTATCTTTAAAAAATAAATCAATAAATATCCAAGTCATCTCCAATGGAATATTTTTGCTTAAATTTTAAATCTTTTATTACATACTTACTCAACCGCAATTCGTTGAAGTACATTTCCATTGTATGTAGTTTGTTCGAATTGGAGTCGGTTATTTTCAAATTTGAGGAGTCGGGGTTGGTCGATTTAGACCCAACTCCACAGACCTGTTGAACCTGTAAATATGATGATCAGAACTCCAAAATAATAGATGAAAAATAATTTAGAAAATTTCTATTGTCTACAGATTGTCTACGGAGGGGTGGTTTAAAAAGCGAAATAGAAAACTGTCTACGAAGTTTATGGGCAGCCCTTTATTTCCCTGTTTCTTCATTGCAGACCGAAACTGGACGCTTGTGGTTTTCTCGTTTAGTTAATGCACAAAGGGCAAAATCGAAGCGAGTGGATGAGTCGACGTTCTACTCCTTGGTTCAGTACTTTGCAATCGTCCTGTTTGAGTGTGCCGAAAGCGAAGACTTCTCACCGGCCAAAACCCTAATGAACATGTGCTTTACATTTTACCATGACAGTAAGCCGAATTTTACTTCTATGCTACGAATTAAAAAAAAACAATACTAACTGGATTTTGTCCCTAGTTGACGTTCCTGGTTGTGAACCTTACCGTGAGTACTTGTACACGTACCTTCGGGATCAACCTATTTGGCATTCCCTTCGCTTCTGGAATGCAGCCTTTTTTGATGCTCTTCAAACGGAACGACAACATCACCCAGTACCGCCTACGAAAGTGGTTAGTTCGGCTTCTCAGCAGCAGCATAACAAGGATGACGAAGCGAACAGTAGCAATACACTCGTGGTGCCTGAAAATGATCGATCTTCTTCGACAAGTGCCTGTGATCGGACGGATCCGTTCGAACTGCAGGAGGATAAAAAGTATCATCAGAATCTGAGCTTCGGACAATTGGGGTAAATTGAAGACGGATTTTTGTCTCGGGTCGATTGATATATTGACGTTTTTCCAGGAGTTTCACCTGCAACATGCATGCATTTGGATTAGGCCGTGAGCTTTGTTACGAATTTCTTATGAAGCAGTGTGTCATAGCAAACTTGAATGCTGGTAGGACATTCCTGAGGATTGATAGGTATCATAGGGAAATAATTACATGTATCCTATTTGCAGAGCAACAACATCTACTCAAGGACAACGTTGATCGGATGTACCGTGAAACTGACCCCTGGCGTGAAAACTAGAGCAAACTTGACAACTTCAAGCAACATGTGGCTGTTACCAAGTGTTTCAGAATAATTCTTCTTCGGCTTTAATTCAAGATAAAATGGTAAAATGATTTTTCTCCTAATCTTAAACAAACGAATTCTTCAAACTTATATAGAAAAAAAAGGCAACAAACAAAGCCGTACTACCAGTGGTTACCGAATCTCAATCAGTAAGGGTGTGCCGTAATGAAGCTTTATTAATTGTTAGACAGGTAGGGGATAAAGTGTTTGTGATATATTTGTGATTTTTAGCTGAGAAGCGCCTGTTGATATCGTTAAGTTGTTTGTATTTTTTATAGGTCGGAAGATGACTTTGAAACGAAAAATAAAATCATAGTTGATTTTCTATAACAAATGTTTCGGTCATAACATTCATTCGAGAGTAAAAGTGTTAAAAAATGAAGATTTAGAACGATAAGTATTTTCTACACATTCCAATAAATTCCAATGATGAAGTTAAGCAAGATTCAAGAGAAATACTATCCTCAAGGCGAAGAAACTATAATGTAAGAGAATGGAAAGGTATGTTTAACATGTTGCGACAATAAAGATAGCAGTGAAGATGGTGAAGTATAGCAATAGTCAGAAGTACGGTGAGATCGAACTTGCAGTGAGACACGGAGTGTTTTTATTTAAAAAGATTTTATTTAACACAAGTAAGAGATAAGATAACTTGCAATGACGCAGAGCAATATAGGGCGAGTTGATAGTATGTAGGCTGAAATCAATGAGGTACAGAGAGAGGTGAAGCAGATCGTGAAATATTGTTGTATTAGTAAACCAAAAAATCAACGTAAACGCAAGTAGTGACGTCACTAATTACTTGTATCGTACAGGGGTTTCACCCACACAACTAAACCGATTGCTTCACCTCGGTAATCCAGCTCATTGGGCTGACATGTCTGGGACAGGCCAGGTGATACAAGATGATTGGTTGATATGATACGGGACTTCATTGAACTATAAAAGATTGAAATTGTTGAATTTTACATATTGTGTTTCCAACGCAGAGTGACTTGGTGGAAGAAATAAGAGAGAATACAAATTTCTATTTGACCAATAATCTTAAAACACCGAGTTTGTTTTGCAATGAAAGAAATAAAAGAAATCGCTTGTTCGGAAGAATAATTAATTTTTTTGGAGCGATTTTGGTGAATCGTCTTGATATGAAGCCATGCTTGTCTGTGAACATGCCCCTCCAAGTAACATTGCAAGTTTTATCGAAGTTTTAAAGCAATCTACAAGTCTAAATCATGGTCTACAGAACCCTCATAAAATCAAAATTGTTACTTGGGCCGTTTAGAAATGAATTAGACATGTTCGACTATTACACCGATTCTAGTGAACGGATTTGAAAACTTTTGACATTTACATGTACACAATAACAATAATAGGGTAGGGCGCTACCCGAGCTACCCTGAGATCAAATTGATATCAAAATTTGCTGTTATGATTTAATTTATTTTGAATACTCCAGTTGAGCTTATTTTGGTTGACTTAAAGTTTTTTTACTACCGACGCCAGGGCGGCAGCTCCCACACCTGGACCCTACCTATCGACCCATCAACTAATAGACCAGGGACCAATGGTTTTACTTTCCTTATGAAGGAAGACATGATCAGAGATGCCTCAGAAAATCCCGGCGGCGCCGACTGGGATTGAGGCCAGGCCTTTTGGGGTGAGAGGCAATCACTCTTACCACTACACCACTGGCACAGCTGACTTAACGGTTAACACAGCAAAAATTTTACACTTTTGAATCAAACGGAATACTAATCCTGCTTTCAATGAAATCAATTAGATTACTGAATTTGCATTCATAATTTTGAACTGAATACGCGCCTGGCGTAAATGGTTAGTATCCATGCTTCTCACGCTGAAAGAGTTGAGCTCAAATTTCACCCCGGGCAAGTCATGAATGACATAAAATGTGTTAAACAAAACAAATAAACAATAATCATTAGTTCAACGACAGATTAACTTAAATTAAATTTTAAACAAGACGGTAACAGAAAAACTCCAAATTAAGTTGCTTTCATTTAAAAAGTTTTGATTGCATAATGAAAGCACAATATGATATCAGACTTATGTCGCGACAACTGAAATCAAAATGAGTTTTCATTATGATAGGAACTGCAAACTTTAATATCGATTTGCTTTTATTTTGTTAACCGATTTTGCTCGGGTACTTTATTGTAATCGCACATTTCCATAATATCGAACAGAAAACATCAAAGGTAATTTTTCAGGCAATTCATCTGTCACCCAAGGTTGCAAAGACTCATTTCAGCTAAAATAATGTTTTTCGGAATAATAAAACCAAAAGATGGTATGATGGCATGTTTTACTTGTAACTTACAAGAAGAGGTTACAAAGTATGCGTTGGAAACATAAAACCTGTAAATTTTGCTTTCTATGAGTCACAATCAGCGATTTGCTGATCGCTGAGTGAGTGAGTGAGTGAGTGAGTTTGTGAAAAATCGCTGATTGTGACTCTCATGAAGTGAAATAAACAGGTTTAATATGTCAAACACATTCTTTGCAACCTCTTCTTGTATCCTACCAATTCAAAATTTGATCATGGCATCTAATTATTTCATAATTTAGAAAAACATTGTTTTAGCTGAAATGAGTCTTTGCAACCTTGCTGTCACCCATTGCTCATGCCAATATCCGTGCCATTTTCTATGTCAACATCCATTCCAATTCCCATGTCCATGCCACTGTATATTCCAATATTCACACCAATATCCATGTCGTCCATGCCAATATCCTTGCAAATACCCATGCCAATTGCCAATGTCCATACCAATGTCCATGCCAATTCCCATTTCAACGTTAATGCCAATACCCATGCCAATGCCCATGCCAACGCCGATGCCAATGCCCATGCCAATGCCCATGCCCATGCCCATGCCCATGCCCATGCCAACGCCCATGCCAATGCCCATGCCAATGCCCATGCCAATGCCCATGCCAATGCCCATGCCAATGCCCATGCCAATGCCCATGCCAATGCCCATGCCAATGCCCATGCCAATGCCCATGCCAATGCCAATGCTAATGCCCATGCCAATGCCCATGCCAATGCCTATGCCAATGCCCATGCCAATGCCCATGCCAATGCCCATACCAATGCCCATGCCAATGCCCATGCCAATTCCCATGCCAATTCCCATGCCAATTCCCATGCCAATTCCCATTTCAATGTTAATTCCAATGCCCATGCCAATGCACCCAAAGCCGCTTCTTTCCAAGAATTTAAAGGTGATTACTCATTGAAGTTAAAAAGACACTGCATTAGTTAAAGCATCAAAGCAACACACTATTGTATACCATGCAGTCATCGCAACATATTTTACATGAGTGTCTATATTTATTCATTGACGTAACTGAGGAAAAATCCTAGTGGTACTAAATTTATTTTGAACTTCATAATTAGGCAAATTGCGAACATTTTTGATGTGTGTGTGTACCCGAGCAAAGCTTGAGATCAAATTGAAATCAAATTTTGCTGTTATGATGTAACTTATTTTGAATACTCCAGTTGATCTCATTTTGGTTGACTTAACGGTTAACACAGCAAAAATGAGAGCAGAATTTTACACTGTTGAATCAAACGGAAAACTAATCCTGCTTTCAATAAAATCAATTTGATTTCTGATTTTGCATTCATAATGTTTAACTGAATACGGGCCTGGTGTAAATGGTTAGCATCCATGCTTCTCATGCTGAAAGACTTGAGCTTAAATCTCACCCCGGGCAAGTTTCAAATGACCTAAAATGTGTTAAACAAAACAAATAAACAATAATCGTTAGTTCAACGACAGTTTTAAAAGGCTTGACTGCATAATGAAAGCACAATATGATATCAGACTTATGTCTTGACAATTGAAATCAAAATAAGTTTTCATTATGATAGAAACTGCAAACTTTATTATCGATTTGCTTTCATTTTGTTAACCGACTTTGCTCGGGTAGTCCCTCTAACCCCCACTGGCTATTATGAAAGTTATTACGAAAGAACTCTCTCTACAATGCCGCATTTATGGTCATTGTAGACAGCTTTAGTCCGGGAGTTAGAAAGTGATAGCTCTATTACAGATCCAGCAACCCATTTCAGAATGTCTGGAGAGTCACGACCATTCTGAGGTTACTGTCACTTACAATAAGCCCCGCATTGCACACACACTTCCAGTTTCAAAATGTTCTTTTGAATCCTGGCACGTATTTAGTTCGTTTATTTTTTTAAATTGTTAATTGTCACCATGTTAATTTGATCCGCCAATCCATGGGTTCCGTAGATTTGTTTTTCTCTACGCTTTCCATCTCATTTCCGGTATCCGGCGAAGCATCATTCAGATTGCTCACAATCTCCAACACCGGCGAGAGACCAGCAGTCGAGCGCTTTTGCAAGCGTAAAACTTGTTGATTCACGGCAACGTCGGCCACCTAATCACTGCCAAAACTCACGACGGATAGCACGTTCCCGGGCTAATTTACCAACCGGACCGGGTTTGAACTCACCCACGGTGACGAATCCCTCAATAGAACTACACGCCGAAAGTGTGGCATCCAAACTCGGAGAACCGGGCTCCCGGGAGGCAATGAAAACCGACACCGAACAATGAAACTGAATCTGCGTCATGTATTTTGGAGGTTAGATTCAAGGTTAACAGGCAAAACACGATACATTATTATCACTAAATGATAACTTTAAGGACACTTGAAACGAAATTTCAGCACAAAAATTAACAAATTTAATGCAAAAAATGTTTAATTCGCTGACGAAAAATACGTAGCAAAAGAAAAACACGTCAGCTTTCTTGCTACTCCGATCTCAACTTGCGAACAATTTTGATGTGTATGGAAAATAAGTGAATGTAGTATCAATTCTAGAGGAGGCTACATTAATCCTAGGGGGCGGGCCTGGGTTACAAGAAATTATGCAGATCCATAGCTTTTTTTGGCGTTTTAAAGTCGTTTTGGAGTTTTTAAGTAATTAATATTGGAGGGCCGCTTATACAATTCCTAAAAAGTGGGTAGCAAAAGAAAAAAGTTTGAGAGCTACTGATCTTAAATAATTCAATCGGGTGGAAACACACATTGTTACTGATTTTCAGAAAACATTGTTCACTTTTAATGATTCCGAAGCTCTAAAATTATTCCCGTTAACGCCAATATGACCGATTTTTTTTTTTAGTTGACGTCAATCGGTATCAAAACGATGATCCAACATAATTAGAGGTGGCGTCAACGACGTATTTTCATAACTAGAGATCTAAAGGTAGAACAAGAAACAAATCGGACACATTAAAAACACTGTCATTACGGCATTTTTTGAGTATTTGTTTTCAAAATTTCACTGAAGAGCTAAGAGTGCATAGAATCACAGTAGGCATTGGTTGTCAGGATAAATTCATTTGTTTACATCATGGCTTCACCGAAGCAAGCACGTCGCCATTCGATCCTGCAGACTCGAAACGAAAATCCTGAACCATCCAGTCCTGGCAGTTTTCCAACAAATTCCTGGGCAGGAATTTTATACATCGGTTGACCGGAAGAGTGCCCGGAAGAATGTAAAATCAAAAAGAAATCGAAATTCCCCAAAAAGTTCCTTGTCTGGCAAGCAATTTGCAGTTGTGGGCTGAAAATCGAAACTTTCGTTACTTCTGGGACCATAAACCAGCAAATTTACTTGGAGGAGTGCCTACGGAAGAGGCTACTGTCTTTTCTGGAGCAGCATTGAGGTGGCCGGACTTGGCAAGCTGCCACTACTCAAATTTCACCAAATAGTGGTGCATCAAAAATGGCGTCACAATGGTTCTCAAGGAAATGAATCCGGCCAATACTCCGGAACTAAGGTCAATTGAGGAACACTGGTCAATTGTCAAGCACATACTGAAGAAAAAGGGTGGAACTGCAATTTACCTGCAGGATTTCGAGTGGAAATTGAATTTGGCAGCCAAATAAAGGGGAACAGCATAATGCAAAAGCACCGAGCAATGAATTTTTTAACCTGATAACTCATCGGTGATTTTTGGATAGTTTAATAAACTCAAGCTTTTTGCGCGTTTTGCGTCCATTATTGCTGCAATGAGAGCGCTTTGCCCCCCGTTAGCGATACTGCCATACAATGAAATCACTGAAAGTGGATCCTGTTTTGACGGAGAAGGCTTATTATATAGCGGAAGATAAAGTGTTCATAAAGGGTGATACGGTCAAAATTTGGTCAATATCAACTTGACGTATTTCTTTCAATTTTGCATTTAAAAAACCTGAACACCCCTCATTTTGAAGGTGTGTGTGTGTAGAATGTTGCTCCTATTTTGATTTTGGAATTCACTCTTCAGTTGTCAAAATGCCGTCCAAGCAAGAAGAGCAGCGTATCAAAATTTTGCTCGCGCATCGCGAAAATCCGAGCTACTCGCACGCAAAGTTGGCAAAATCGCTAAAAGTTGCCAAATCAACCGTTACAAATGTAATTAAAGTGTTTGGGGAACGTTTGTCGACAGCCAGGAAGTCTGGATCGGGGGGAAATCGAAAACCGGAAGCCGCTGAGACGACAAAGAGAGTTGCCGGTAGTTTCAAGCGAAACCCTAACCTCTCTCTCCGAGATGCCGCAAATAAGCTGGGTGTATCGTCTACAACCGTGCATCGAGCCAAAAAACGAGCCGGACTATCGACTTACAAGAAGGTAGTGACTCAAAATCGCGATGATAAACAAAATACGACGGCCAAAGCGCGATCCCGGAGGCTGTACACGACGATGCTGACGAAGTTTGACTGCGTGGTAATGGACGACGAAACCTACGTCAAAGCCGACTACAAGCAGCTTCCGGGACAGGAGTTTTATACGGCAAAAGGAAGGGGAAAGGTAGCAGATGTTTTCAAGCACATGAAACTGTCAAATTTCGCAAAGAAATATCTGGTTTGGCAAGCCATCTGTATCTGTGGCTTGAAAAGCAGCATTTCCTAGCTTCCGGGACTGTCAACCAAGAAATTTACGTGAAAGAGTGTTTGAATAAACGTCTGCTGCCTTTCCTGAAGAAACACGGTTGTTCCGTACTGTTTTGGCCGGATTTGGCATCTTGCCATTACGGTAAAAAGGCCATGGAGTGGTACGCCGCCAACAACGTGCAGGTGGTTCCCAAGGACAAGAACCCTCCCAACACGCCAGAGCTCCGCCCAATTAAGAAATACTGGGCTATTGTCAAGCGGAACCTAAAGAAGACCAAAAAAACTGCTAAGGGCGAGCAGCAGTTCAAGGCAAACTGGCTTTCTGCGGCGAAGAAGGTGGACAAGGTGGCTGTACAAAATCTGATGGCAGGGGTCAAGCGTAAGGCCCGGCAATTCGGATTTGGAAAAGCGGAAGCCTAACTGAATATTTTTCCTGAATTTTATACTAATTCAACTTGAAAAAGAAATTTAATTTGATTTTTTAAATAAACGATTTCACCGATTTACACGCGTTTTCCCTTGACCAAATTTTGACCGTATCACCCTTTAGTGTTGTACCTTTTGACCATAGTTTCACGATGTTTTGTATAGCGAACTCTGTAAAGTTAATTCGTTTGAGCCTTTTCAAATTAATTAATAAAAAAAAACTGTCAAGCTGTCAAACTGTCTAAAATTACGGATAATCGAATCCTTTGGCAATCGAGTCCATGCTTGACATACACAGTTGTACACACCAACTGCTCATTTGTTAATAACTTTTCACTCAGTTGTTGAAATTTAGTTTTCTTTAAAGTAATTGATAGATTAGGATCATAGTTTACTGTAAACATGCAAAGAATAGGTAAATCTTATCATTTGAATCAACACATATGAATTTTTACACTTAATGTCTGAGATGTGCAGCGAGCATTTCTCACTTAATTTTTGCAACCCAAAATCAAATATATTTTATCTATATTATATTTATTACTATAATTAAAATCTCTTTTTTCTTACATACCTATAAAAAGCTTAAACTCTATTCTATCGACTGCTTCAAACAGAACTATGTGTTGTCAACTCTGTGCAAAGCTATTAGCAAATGAGCAGTTTGTGAGCAAAACTATGTATGCCAAGCATGATCGAGTCTGACCTGTACTGCCGTTATAAACATACCTGTCCAATATTCTATGTAATCTTCATGGACCGTGGGACTCTTATTCGTATAACGGCAGTGCATATGATTTTAAACATAAGAATTGACATGAATAAATTAGTAAAAATATTCAACCAATATTCCTTAAACATTTTAGGCTGCAGACGAATAAAACAAACGGTCCTTAATACGCATAATTTATTCCCATTCTCATTGTTCTAATACATCTCAAATCACATCTCAATTAAGTAAATATGTTGGCATTAATCCTCGACGATTCTTCTACTGTTAGTCAACTATTCTCGGTTTGTCTGCGATCGTTACTCCAAGTGATTCGGAGATATTCCTGCTATGGCTTTACAATAAATTACATGGTAATGCAAACTGGCCATCACGAACGTGGCAAAAGTACTATGTTCTGATGAATTAAACAGTAACAACTTATATGAAGAAATAATATACAACATACGAGTCGGATAGCGTGTGCTACTGTAATGTTTGGTCCGCATAACGTTTTTTTTTAATCCGAATCGTATCCATCGTCTTACATCGAATAACAACATGAAAGCTACCCGTTCCGTCCAAGTCCCTAATCGATCAGCAGAATAAAGTTTACCGATCCTTGTCGATCACGCATTCCTCCACGATAGATGACATTCTTAGCCCACACACGGCACTCAACGTTGACACTTTGTTTCACTGCGGATAAAAATAACATTTTAATTAAAATCGCCAATTGCTAGCTTATTGCGCATTAACTAACCTGCTGGACGTGCAAAGTGTACCGCCACCAATGGACTGAGGTAACCGGGTAGGTTGGTGTAGGGGTAGTAGTATGCGGGGAGACCACGGTGTGGGAAATACTCGATCGGGCCGATCGATTCGACATCCGCTGGAGCTAAGCCATTACAAGACACCCACATTTGTTTGCGATCTTGTTCCGGCAGAGATTTGATGTGGTCGATCAAATCGGTTGGCATGTCATCGGGCAGATCATTGATATCGTCGTAAAATTCTGGAACCCATCCGTAGATCTGCAAACACAAGGATGTTGTTTATTCAGAGCGAAACCTAGGGTGACAAGACAAGATGGTCTTACGCGATTCAATTTGATGAAAATGCAAGGAGCTGATTTGTTGTAGCTGTATCCCTCTTCAATGTTGCATGGACCAAGTTTCGTCACATCGACGGCGCACACATTTCCCTGAGCTGGTGCGTTGGTGAAGTCACAAATGGCTTGATTTTTACCTCCACCTGGAAGCAATGTCTGGTCCCGGTATGCTGTCGATTGGGAGTTTTCTACGTTATTGTATGTGTTTTAAAATAAAGTTGTAAGTGTGATACTAACGTGCCAGGAAGTCGTTGATCCGATTGACCCATTCTTTCACCTGGGTTTTATTGGCAGCGGTATAGTGAATCATGGCACCTTCTTGGATATTCTCTGGCATGGGTCGATAGCCCAGACCGGGATTGGTCCCTATCAGTGAGGCATCCAGTTGCCATTTGGGATACTGGTGGTTCATGGTGGAGAGAAGTACCTGCATACAGATGGCAAACAGTGCTGCTAGTACCACGTAGAAGCAAAAGTAAAATAGCATAAGCTGTCCTGCAATTGAAAAAGAAAAATAGGATGGAACGTTAGTGCTGTTTGTACGATTGATGCAAAATAATGGTAATAATGGTTCACTCGATTATAATGGAACAAATGGTAGCACGGTGTAGGTACAGGCATACGCTGTACAAGCGGAACGCATTTTTGTCTCCGACAATTATAAGCGGTTATTTGCATCTTATAGCAATTTAAAATGTTGTCATACTTATTTCTCGCGTGGTGCATAAATTGATTGGCGTGAAATCAGTGCACTGGCGCGCTCACTCATTGCTTTGCCATCATTCGCCTGTAGGTAGGTGTGAAGCTATTTAGCTAAAAGGTTATAATAATTTGCATCCACATGCTTTAGGATGCTGAGCAACTACACCTACAAGCTTAATTAAGTCTCTTAATAGTTATGACAAACAAATTTACAAATCTTACGTGAACAATTTTTCAGACTCCACAGCATTTTTCTTCATTATTTCGACGATCCGTTCGGTGCACTGATGTTTTTATTCATTTATTGCATCGATTATTGCTAGATGGATATTATAAAAATATATAAAATGTTTTTGGGGTGATACCTCTCACCATCCCTCTCCACGTGGGGCGTTTGGTTAAGAGAGATGATCAACCCGATTCGTACCTTCCTCAAAGTTGTCCTTGTTCGCTTTCTACTCTCTAAATACAATTTTCACACTGCCGGACTCTAACGGAACTATCAACCTTATACTTTCATCTCCTCATCTATTGCATAAAATGACCACTTTAAGTCTGATATTTGAAACTTAGCATCTTCAACTAAGTGAATTTAACAGTTATACAACAAATTACAACATTCATTTACACAGTAGGGGTGATGCACATATCATGCCACGCTCTAAGGGGGAAGGGGGGCTTATGATTTTGTGACAAGCAATGCATTAATTATAGGAAAAATGGATCCCCTGTAGATAGGTTTCTAACACCCCTTGATTGATTTACCAAACAACTGCGCATTTATCTTTGTTTTAGCTTAGGAACATTTCCACGCCAAATTGCAAAACGCTTGGACACGAACTTCATCGATTTAAATAAAATATTGCACATATATAGGCTGCTTCCCGAGATTGCATTTTGCATTAACATTTGACCACTTTTTCCAGACTAAGTTTTTCGAAAAGGCGTATTAAGATGAAATTATTTATTTGTTCTAAAAAAAACGACAAATTCGATCAAAACGACGTGTAAGAAGAAAATTTTACTTATCGAAGAAAGCAAACTTATTGGACGATAGCTGAAGACTTCAGCTGGATTTTTATCTGGCTTCAAAATTGGAACAACTTTTGCATTTTTCCATTTATCAGGAAACTATGCTAAATTGAAACATCTGTTAAATAATTTTACCAAGAAAGACAAAGTACTCTCTGGGAGTTTTTTTTTGTTGAGGATATAGAAAATTCCATCATCACCAGGACCTTTCATATTATGAAACTTTTTAGTTATAGATCTTACTTTGTCCAAATCAGTCCCTCAGAAATCATGAATAATATTTTCCCGAGATAATCCCGAGCAGCTTAATTTTCAATAGGACTAACTGCCTATAATCCCATATCAGTCCCATATGGAAAAAGTATGCATTGAGATAATGGCAGTCGAAGTTACGAAGTGCGATTCCCATGTAAATATTTGAAAAAAATCATAGTAAATTTATTAATATTTTTTTCAAGTTAACATCTGTTCCATTGAAGCTTGCATGTTATGTTCTATCAGCGAAAAATATGGCAAATCGAAAAGCATAACTGTAACTTCACACCTCTGGACGATAAAATTTAAGAATGGGACTGATATTCGATTACATTGCTTGATGGGACACACTGACTTGATGTTGTTTTCACATTTTTCATGATCAAAGATCGTAGTTTTATCACCTAATATGAAAGTAGATGCCAATTGATAGTGGAGAGCGTTGTTATCTCAAAATTGACATAAAATCCATATGGGACTGATTTGCGATTATGGGCAGCAAACTAAAATTATGGAAATTCTCGAATTGCTTAGCAAGTTTCTTGAGATGAAGTGAGCAAGAGTGAGATGAAAAAGCATTGAACATCATTTTTGATTTGCAATTGAATATTAGGATAGACGTTATATTCCACTCATGTTCGATATTGATCCCATTCAGCTCTAAGGTAGTTGAATGTTGGGATTAGACATTATTTCTTGGGATATTTCAAAAATTAAGGGAAGGTGATCAGAACCGAAGTCAGCATGGGTAACCAATTGGCTCGAAGCTGTTGACACAAGCAGCTGTGTGTTTTTTTTTCGGTGCGAGTCACGCGATAGTCTGTTTGTCGATAGCAATTCTAGAGTAACATTTGAAATGGGCCTATGTCCAAAACGTAAACAAACCAGAAAATGAATTTTATTTTTTTCCGCCACTTTTCAATTCATATTTAAGAAAATTGAAGTTTGTTAGGCATTTATATTGTTCACAATAACTATAGTAACTGTATCTCAGTATACAACCTCCAAAATATGTGAAAAGCTTTCAAAAATATATGAAAATCGATAACAATTTATTTTCATAAATTAATAAGCCTTTTTGAGAATCTTTCAATGGATATGCCCTTTTTTTAACCGTTGTGCTTGTCATCACGAATGGTACGCCCTTTGCTAAGCCTTTTTTCAACGTCAAATAAATTCAAAACAAATCATCCGCCCTGCCTCAACCAGTAGGGCCTAGCTTTGGTTTGAAAATTTTCAATCATCGGCCCTTCTACGTCACTAGGCTTATCAATGAAATGAAATAAATGAATGGTTGGCCGTTTTAGCGTGCGGGCCTATTAATGATTCGAAAAATTTCGTTGATCGGCCGTTTCGAAAATCGAGTTATTTTTAATGATTTTTCTCGATTATGCGGAATTTTCCTACACGATTAGTGACTATCAAGCGGTGCTAAATAAAGAATGGTATCAAAACCCGATTTGTTTACGTTTTGGACATAGGCCCATTTCAAATGTTACTCTAGAATTCATGCTTGCGATGCTTGCTCATTGTTTGAAGTTTGTTCGTTTTTGCCGTTACCCCGTTGGAAGCAAACAACTACTGTGCTACCTGACTTATAACGAATATACGTTGTATACGAGTACCCCGGAAACAACGTATGACTCGTCTAATTTTGCATAGCAGTTGCAATGTAAAATTAGACGAATTATACGTTGTATTTGGGGTACTCGTATACAACGTATATTCGTTATAAGTCAGGTAACACAGTAGTGGAGATGTCGGTGGAAGTAAAACTGACGATTAGATTCAGCTTCCCAGATGGATCGGGGAAACCATCTATGGAAGACATTGCGAATTTTATGAAATTGTTGGATGCGGATCCCACTCAGATGATCGCTACATACCGCATAGCGGAAGAAAAATCTATGTTCATCAAGTTAAAATTAGAGAATTCGATGTTTTATTGTTTGCTAAACAACCGTACACAATTAATTTTCCATTATGCCGATGGGAAGTCAGTCGAGGTACGCATGTCGCCTGCTGGGGGCACCGTTCAGTACGTGAGAGGTTACGACCTACCACCAGAAGTCCCGGATAGCGATCTATCTATTGATGCTAGGAAAATACGGTGATGTAAAACGTGTAGTATGGGAGAAATTTCCAGCTACCTTGGGCCTCGATAGATGTAAAAAAGGCGATGTAACTAGCTGCAATTCCCTAAATGGAAGGGAAACATATTCTAAAAGGGGAACAACAATTTGTGTTTCTTTTGTAAGACGGAGCGGCATCGGATTTTTTTTCTTTATTTTTGTGATTTTTAGCCGTAGGCTCGTTCATCACATTTGATAGTAGAAGGTCAGGCTTAGGGCCTGCCTCTAAGGAACCGTTTCAGTCTAACATTAACGTAACGTAAAACTGGCTCTGAGACAACATTTAAAAAAAAAACTTAATGTAAAATGGGAGTCACAAGGTAGAGCTCCACCGTAAGAGACAGTGCCCCAGTCCGGCAGAGATACCCCGACGGCAGGAAAATAGGAAGCTGAAAGCGCAGCCAACGGCGGGAGTGCTAGATTTGGTTGTACAGGTGGGCGTCCTTCAAGAAAGCAATCAGCGCAGCCAGCGTCGAGGGGTCATTGCCAAGTAGCTCCTTGATGTTCTCTGGGAGTCGGTGTTGTTCGCGTAGCCTCTGAAACTCTGGGCAGACACACAGCACGTGTTCCACCGAGGCAGGGATGCTGCAGATTGGACAAACCTTGTGAAAGGGTGTCCCACCAAAATTGTGGGAAATCCTCGCATGGCCGGTCCGGAGTCTTGAAATGATCCGTTGGTCTTTGTACTTGTGGCTGTCTAGCCAGGGTCGTATGGTTTCTTTGATCTTTCTCAGGAAAGTGGTCCGCGACTGAAACCATTCCTCCTGCCAGGCTTCCATGATAATATTCGCGATCCAACGCTTGACGTCTAGGAGTGGTACGTTCCTGGTGAAGTGGGGACCAGATGGACCGGATCCCACCAGCCTGTCCGCAGCCTCATTTCCAGGAACACCGCAGTGCCCGGGAATCCACGTAAAAACGGTTGAGGGTGGGGCATATCGTGTAATGGCTTGTATCCAGGGGTGGCTCGGGGCTTCGGCTTCCAGCGCCAGCGGCATCGGATGAATTCCTGCTCCAAGCGGATCAAAAGCAGCCAGTACAACAACGAACGGAAGAAGAAAACCAACAACGGAATGAGGAAGAGACCAGTACGTACGCTGGTATACTGACTGGATGCATCACCAAATGAGGAAGCGGTTGAGATCCTGGAAGAAGAGGGGGTAGGGACAGATGTGACGTCCCCGGACGCCGAGAAGAACAATGGAGAGGAAGCTAAAAAAAATTCGGGATAGTGAACTATACCGAGAAGGAGCGGATAAAGGACGAAGAGGAGGCTATGCGGCTGGTGCTTCTGAAGGAAAAACAATTGGCAGAAGCAAGGGAGTTGAGGGCACGGATGAAATCGGAAAATAAACTCTAGACACCTCCAAGGAA